CACGGGCTATGGTGAGCCCGTAGTGGACTTACCTGGCACAGGAGCGGGGTAAGTAGCACGGGCTATAGTGAGCCTGTAGTGGACTTACCTGGCACAGGAGCGGGGCAAGTAGCACGGGCTATAGTGAGCCTGTAGTGGACTTACCTGGCACAGGAGCGGGGCAAGTAGCACGGGCTATGGTGAGCCCGCAGTGGACTTTACTGGCACAGGAGCGGGGCAAGTAGCACGGGCTATGGTGAGCCCGTAGTGGACTTACCTGGCACAGGAGCGGTATATAGAAGGCAGTCTGGAGAGCCTTATAAACACCTGCCGAGTGAGATGCTTAAACACCCGCTGAATGAAACGCGTCCAACACCTGCCGAATGAGAACTTTAAACACGAGAGCCTTAAACATGTGCTGAGAGGAGCCCGTGTGTGTGATGACCACTGGTGAAGCAGCAGACACAAGGCAGACAAAGTCCATCAGACTGGTCCAGCAGCCCGTCCTCCCGAGCGTTCCTAACGTCACTAAACTGACGTACTAACCTCCCCGAACCTAACCAACCCGAGGACCCACGAACAGAAAACGGGACAGCAATTCGCCTAACTTTGTATCGAGGTCGATACATAGAAAACGTCAGTATTAGGGCGCTTTAGTTTTTGTGACCAATGCGTAGCAAATTTCAACGGATTTGTTAATTCCGTTAAAATGGGGCTTATTAGGGAAGAGAGGACGGGCTTTCAAGAATAAACGATAGAGAAGACATAACAACGACATGCAAGATTTTGATAATTGGCATTAAATAAAGATAAGATACGTAAGAATATAGATAAAGATATGAGGTAAGAAAGATACTTTTGAGGGAGAGAGAGGGCAAAGCTAGCGAGGCAAAAAATCACAAGGATACAGTACTTGTGTAACGGCGAATTTACACATACAAAAAAAATTAAAATAAGAGTAATAGCAACAGCTGTATATCTGGGAATTAATTACCTAAGCTCGAAACAGGAACACGACAAGTAGAATGGCAGAGCCAAACTTGCAAACAAAAGGTGGGAAGGTCAGCGTTGATCCCAGAGTCTCTGGCGACCTCGGAGTATTCACCTGGCCTTTGGTTAATTAAAGGGATGATCAGAGTTAAACTACGCAAACACGCGATGTGGGAATTAGTGGCGAGAGATGCCAGGCCGACCGAGCTCAGAGGCAGGAGGAACGGTGGCCGAGGTTGCCACGGTTCCTGTCTGTCTGTCAGGTGAGGTGGCTGGCCGGCTGGGGGTCTGGTGAGGTGGCTGGCTGGCTGGCTGTAGGTCTGGTGAGGTGGCTGGCTGGCTGGTTGTAGGTCTGGTGAGGTGGCTGGCTGGCTGGTTGTAGGTCTGGTGAGGTGGCTGGCTGGCTGGTTGTAGGTCTGGTGAGGTGGCTGGCTGGCTGGCTGTAGGTCTGGTGAGGTGGCTGGCTGGCTGGCTGTAGGTCTGGTGAGGTGGCTGGCTGGCTGTAGGTCTGGTGAGGTGGCTGGCTGGCTGTAGGTCTGGTGAGGTGGCTGGCTGGCCGGCTGTAGGTCTGGTGAGGTGGCTGGCTGGCCGGCTGTAGGTCTGGTGAGGTGGCTGGCTGGCCGGCTGTAGGTCTGGTGAGGTGGCTGGCTGGCCGGCTGGCCGGCTGTAGGTCTGGTGAGGTGGCTGGCTGTAGGTCTGGTGAGGTGGCTGGCTGGCTGGCTGTAGGTCTGGTGAGGTGGCTGGCTGGCTGGCTGGCTGGCTGTAGGTCTGGTGAGGTGGCTGGCTGTAGGTCTGGTGAGGTGGCTGGCTGTAGGTCTGGTGAGGTGGCTGGCTGGCTGGCTGTAGGTCTGGTGAGGTGGCTGGCTGGCTGTAGGTCTGGTGAGGTGGCTGGCTGGCTGTAGGTCTGGTGAGGTGGCTGGCTGGCTGTAGGTCAGGTGTGGTGGCTGGCTGGCTGTAGGTCAGGTGTGGTGGCTGGCTGGCTGTAGGTCAGATCTAGCGTTCAGGCGTCAAGACAAAGCTAATGAAGGTGGTCACGTAACCAGTGCGCAGTAGTCATTTGGTCTAAGTATTCTTGCCGGGCGCTCGACACAATATTCTCTAGTCTCTCCCCTCCCTTACCCTCCCACGATGGGAGTCTAGGCTAGAGTCGTGCCGCTGCCATCCACTGGATCTTAATTATCCATCCACCGCTGCTCATTCTGGGGTTTAATCAAAGCCAAACATGTGTGTTTTTGCAAGTGAATCCGGTGTTTAGTGTCGGGAAGCCCAAGATTTATACAAATCTGTGTATCCCGGAATTAATTTGCATAAATATATAGAGCCATCCAATATGAGGAGCGCGTGTGTAAGTGGTGGTGGTGGTCGCGTGCAGACAAACCTCAGGTCAGTTCCCAGAACCCGCTACCTCGTACCAAGCTCAACAATATATGGCGATTGATGCTTCGGGGGCAAGAACACACCTCATCACAAAGCCATAAGGGTTGGCTCCCTTATTCTGCAGCAAGCTGTCGTCATCCTTACCGGATGATACGTTGCCTATGCCAGCAACGGAAAAAATGGAATTACATTAGTAGGAGGAGGGAGGGACGGGGGGAGGTCAGATTTTCCATTTGTGCGTGTGTTGGTGGGATGGGAATTTGAGAGAGGGGGCGAGGCTACGGCCAGAATATGATGTGCGACTTGATCAGGCGAGCGGCGGCCAAGATGATACTGGGTATCGCTTTTCTTTTTTTTGGTTGTCGGTCGCCTGAAGCCATGACTCCCCATTTCTCTTATCATATTTACTCTTTTAAGTGTCATGTTCGCCAAGACTGCTTCCCTCTAGACGTTCACTCCACACCAGCTCTCGCTATTCTCACGTGGACGAAGTGTTCCTGGCATCTGGGTCTGGGCCTTGCCACCAACAATATCTCATTCTGTTAGTGTTAACCATAACAAGATACTGCTGTTGACCAAACCACATACTAGAAAGAGAAGGGACGATGACGTTTCGGTCCGTCCTGGACCATTCTCAAGTCGATTGTGACTTGAGAATGGTCCAGGACGGACTGAAACGTCGTCGTCCCTTCACTTTCTAGTGCGAGTGGTTTGGTCAACATATTTCAGCCACGTTATTGTGACTCCTCGCCTGCATAAAGATACTGATATACCTTGACAATATTCCTGAGAATACACACTGACTGCATCAATGAGAAAATTGTGTCTGGGGCGTGTGTGTGTGTAGGACTACCCACTGCATTGGTTCGAATCCCCGTCACGGCTTCTACGGATTTTCTCACTGCTGAGGATCGTGTAGCGCGCGCGCTGGTCTTTGCATATCTGGCCGCGTTGTGGGGCTTCTTGAGGCAGGATTATGCTTCATAGGGGGTAGGGGCAGATCATAGGCTTGGGAAGGTGGATTACAGCCGGTTATTGCTGACAATCTAGTTTAGATCCAATGGTCTGCTGCTGATTGTAATCCTTGATAATACTTTCGTAAATTCCGTCATTCTCTGTAGAGCGCCATAGTGATACATAAAGGTAAATTTAATTAAATTGTTGTGGTGGTATATGCGAGAATCAGAAGGTTGGAGTTCCCCCAGACAGCGAAGATGGTATTACCGCTCACGCCAAGTCTGAGTGAGGGAGGGTCGAGGGAGGGCCGCAGAGGGCCAGGGTGTTCCCTGCACCAGACTAAGCCAACCTTCACAGTCTCTCTTGCAACCACACCCACCGCTGTGATTAATGTAAATATAATCTCCAATATTGTAAATCATTGAAAGAAAAATAAGTAACATTTAGTGGTTTAAAGTTCATGTTCTGTGATAATATGAAACACTTATTTATTGTGAATTATACTACTGTATATGTAATGTAGTATTGCCTTGTAAAATTGTTGTATATATGATTTATATTGTATTTTATTAAATAAAGATAAAAAAGAGCTGTGTCCACGCTCACAGCTTTTCCTTGTATACATATTTAAACACGTTTCCTCTCACATTGGCAGGCTCTATTATTATTATTCATTTATTCATAAGAAAATTATAAGGTATATTAGAGTTGATAAGATTTGTTAAATATTTTTTTTAATAAAGTCACTAATGAGGCCTTTTTTTAGCTTGATGCATACCGAGGGTCTTGTAATACAGTTGGCTTCGTTCTCGACTCAGAGTTGGGATCCCGGGTTCGATTCCCGGTCGTGATAGAAATGGTTTGACAAGTTTCCAGTCACCTAATGCCTCTGTTCACCTAAAGGAATTAGGAATAAACAGGTAACCGGAAGTTAGTCAACTGCTGTGGGGTTGCATCCTGGGGAGGGTCAATAGTTCGACCTTGGGGGGGGGGGGGGGGATCTTTGATATAAGCCTAAAGTGTGTTGTTATATGTATAAACTTTTTTGTCTCCAACAACGGGAAATATTGCCGTCTCTTTTTATGCTTATTCCTATAGTTGGCTGGTGGTGCCCTAGTTAACACGTGAGAGATAAGCTTAATCACTGTCTTTAAATGCAACCTGGTATGATGATTGCTGGTCTACTGGGGGTGACATCTCACCTTTTCCAGTCTAAAGCATTTTCTCAGTCATTAATGTAAACTTGTTCCTTCCCTTCCCTTCCCTTCCCTTCTGCATACTTCAAACATACAAGATAAGAGGAGTGTGACTGCTTTCAGTGGACGTTTGTCTCACAGCCGGGCCCTACGCTTAGTATTAGCTTCACACACATATCGAACTTATTATCCAGAGGCCCACATCAATCGAACAACATCAGGAGCACATATTATATTGATGAATGTATAAGGCCTACTACCATTAGGAATTTGAACGTCGTTCAGGACAATGTTCAAAACACTAATCCTCCAGCACCATTTCTCGCCGTATTTTAGAGTGGCAAGTAATTGGATGGATAGTCTCTTGCTTTGAAGGGGATCTCGACAATCCAGTGTATCAAGGGCTTCTCTAGATAAGGCATATATATGCTAAAAATGTCAATTTTTAATATTTGAAAGTTTGTCACAAGTTGCCTAATATATTGTTTTCTTTGGTTGCAGAGAGAATGTAAGAGAAAATGGGTAGCAGTGAGTGGGAGGGGTTACTAGAGCGGCGGCTGGCTGTGCTGCCTGGCTCACGGGACCCGGGTGGTGGACCCATCCTTATCATCCCATTGCCACAAGACCCCAGCAGCCATGACTCCGGGGCCATCTCCGCCACCGTCAAGTACCTCAAGACCATCCCCAGGTTAGTCGTAGCACCGTCTAGGACTCTACTACATTATCACCATCCCCAGATTACTTGTGCTCACATCCACTAGGCTACCATCACTTCATAATTATCTTTCAGGACGGTCAGACAAACAGGTAAATGAAGGAAACACTGCATCAACAGTAGTATGTTTATTATCTAAGGTACATAGAAAGTAAAAGGAAGAGAATGTAGTGAATGTAACCAGCCAGAATGTGGCGTGCACCTTGCTGGGTAAGGTCAGCTTTTGACTTAGGCCCTAAGGGACCTAAATAAGCCTGAGAGGCTTCGTGCCCCTAACACATGAAGACAGTATACGAAGTGCAGGCTCGTGTAGAGGTTTAGGAGGTCGAGGCTCCGGAGAAGGTGTAGGGTGTAGCGGCAGTACTCCTAAATTTTTGTTTAATTGTATAAAGGAGATAAAACTAAGATGAGAGTAGACGTTATTTATCAATAACGTTTGGATGTGAGGAGTTTACCGACAGAAAATTATGTATAAATGGTCTACTCGTGACTTTGGTGTTTCGTACCAGCGTTGTCACAACTTTTTCTTCTCCATAACCACATTTTATAGAATAATTAATACTATAATTAGAATATGTCAGGTGGAGCGTAGTTCAGTTCTGGTGGAGCGTGGGTGAGTTCCGATGGAGAGTGGGTCAAACGACGGTGGAGCCTTAGTCAGGTAGATCATAGTTTAGGTGGAGCGTGGATCACGTGGATTAAGTCGGATCTAGTGGAGTATAGGTCAGGTGGGTCATTGGTCAAGTGGGCCCGATCCTTGGCCAGGTGAGTGTCTCATTGTAACGGGTGACTTTAAAGTTATTTATAATTTGATCACGTATAGAGAGTTGACAAGTGTGGGTGTTGTTGCAGCGTGAGCGCCCGGGAGCGTGGGTGGGTGGTGGTGGTGGACGCCCGAGTCTGTCACTACCGCCTCGTCAAGCCCACCGTCAGCACCGTCCGCGCCACCCTCGGCTACATCAGGCACCTCTTCGTCGTCCGCCCGGAGGGATTCTGGGATAAGCAGCGAGTTGATTGTCGCAAAAGTGAGGTGGACAGCCAGGTGAGTGATGCGGCACTTTTACGTGCCTATTAATTGGTTTTGTATGGCTGGCAGCTCTCGCGGGATGAGTATGGGGTGCATAATAAACTACCGCTCACAGGATGAGTATGAGGTGCACAATATACGCCCCCCCCCCCCACCCTACCCGGTTTTTCCATTTTTCATTGGGCGAAAAAATGGGTGAGGCTTCGCCAGATTTAACCCACCTTACTATTGTCTCTCTTATCGTCTTCACTTGTTTCAAATTTCTAGTTCCTCAGCTGGGTTTGAGCCCTTCCATTATTCTCCTCTACCTTACTATTCCACTGCGCCTCCTTTTGGACAACTAATTGACAACTCCAATTTTATTCTTCAAGCCTAAACATTCACGAAGTTGGTTCTCATTTACATTTATCCTCCAGTTATTCAAAGTTATGTTTCACCATGTGATTTGTTTCCTACTAATCCTAGTAATGTTAAATTTCAATAAATAATTATAGAAATCATTTGGACAAATAATTCCATCAACGTTATGTAACACTGTAAAGTTAAAACAATAAATAATAAATTTATTTAAAACTCATTCCGGATTTCGGGATGGGTATGGGGTGCATAATAAAGAAATTGAATTGCTCATACCTCCGGAAAAGCATGTTTGTTTTTTATCTGGTTAGTTAACATATTCAGGGGATAGTAGGGCGTTCTTTAATGGTAACTTGGATACTACAGAGGTCTCTGTCAACACAAACTTGTTAACAAACCTTCTCTGTTCCGCTGTCGGACTTGGCGTAACGGAATCTTGTGGACGTGTCGCTCCTCTGCAGCCCATCTACGTGAGTGTGAGCAAGCTCACCAGGCACATGGAGGTGTCGCAGCTGCTGGTGGAGCTGGGAGGAACACTGGACTACGACCACACCGCCTGGCTCAAAACTCGCAAGGTATGATATATGGCCGCTGAACGGGAACTAGGCTTCAAGTCTCATCATGACTCTATGTTCTTGGAAGCAAACTTGTCATGGCAGGTTCCAGGCTTGCAGAGGGATCAGACTCTTACAATGGACAACACAAAAATTGACCAACAAGCCCAGGGTTGAGCTTTCCCAGGGAGCCACAACCTCACCCATATTAATGCACTTGCTTTATTAACTCGCCTGAGGTAAGGGCATTGGGCGTGGGTTCTAGTGATAATGGTATTCTAATGGTCTACATAAACTATACATCATTTAATTTGTTGAATATTATTAGTGTTATTAGGTAAGGATCCATAGGTGTGTCGTAGTAGTAACGGCAGTAATAGTGATGGCCGTAGTTACTCCAGTAATAGTAGTAATGGCACTAATAGTAGGAAGGCGGTGATCGTAGTAGTACTAGAAGTAGTGGTAGTAGCAGCATTAGTAGTAGTAGTAAATAGTATTAACACTAGTAGTTTCAGTAGCATTAGTAGTAATAGGGGTGGCAGCAACAACATTAGTAGTGTAGGCATATATTGATGCTAAAGAACAATTATTCTGGAAGCGCAACGAAACAATAGTCAATAGTGAATCGACAATAGTCAAAAACAAACTTGTCAATAAATTTGACTAATTTTTTTTTTCAGAAAATGAAAACCGTTGTTATTTTTAGACAAAACACAAACCACGGTCTTTGCCTTCAATTAATTTGTATTGTTTTTTTTTATACTTTCATTTGCTTTTTTAAGACATAATTTTATTCAAGTAATGTGTACATGGTTCAGTTAGTGATACGGATCAGAGATCATTTCTTGACGAACATGATCTAATTTCTTGCCTTTAGTAAAACATGAGAACATTTTTAACAAAATTGCAAAGGTATTGATTTTGGTGCCCTTTCATATTAATTCACCAGAGTTAATTACTTAATTTTAATTGATTGGGTTCTTTCGTCGATGTTAATATTTAATAATTGTTACTTATGACAATATAGTCTCCCTCGTGCCTTCTTAATTTCGGTGTATAGTGTGTGAGGCTATTGTCTCCTTCCAACCTTTGTTACGACTGTCTTATGTTCACTAGGTTACTTAAACATATTTTAATCCTTCCTCAAGCCTCATTGCGTTATTCGAAAAGAGTATAGTATTATTAACCATCAATAAGCTCCAGCTGTAACGTTTATATTTCTATCCTGTTTTTTATCAATTTTGGTTTATAATTTGAACAAATCCTTTTGCATATTTTCTCATGTTTCGTTATTTCAACCTGAAGCTATCCATGACTGGACGAAGAGCTGGAGCTGTCGACATGATTGGTGTTTACGCCAATTTTGATTTTACTCTTTATTCAAATATATTTTCGTTCCTGGTCACTGCTGTCCTGGTCTACCCTGCTCTTCACCCTGCCCTACACCCTGCCCTTCACCCTGCCCTTCACCCTGCCCTTCACCCTGCCCTTCACCTTGCCCTTCACCCTGCCCTTCACCCTGCCCTTCACCCTGCCCTTCACCCTGCCCTTCACCCTGCCCTTCACCCTGCCCTTCACCCTGCCCTTCACCCTGCCCTTCACCCTGCCCTACACCCTGCCCTACACCCTGCCCTACACCCTGCCCTACACCCTGCCCTACACCCTGCCCTACACCCTGCCCTACACCCTGCCCTACACCCTGCCCTACACCCTGCCCTACACCCGGCCCTACACCCTCCCTGCAGTAAGCTCTCTGCTGCTTCCAGGCGTACGAGGAGTTTGTGGACGAGTGCGAGCGGGCGCGCCGGGACTTGGAGACTCTGCAAGTGGAGCTTCGTCGGGAGGAGCCGTGCAGCCGGGCCTCCACCCTGCACGACCTCCTCTCCGTCAACACCAACACCTACAACACCATCACGGCCAGACCCTCCGTCATCTTCAACATGGGTGCGGGAGTCATTATCACCTGGTTATTTGCGTGTTCAAGCTCTTCAGTATAATCATGTGTCATGGTTTTCAAGTTGTCAAAATTATAGCCATTAATGGCTTTACGAGTTTCATTTTTATATTTAATATAGACAGCAATTACACACAGAAATTATAATAGCGTGATGCATCAAATGAACAAATCCACAAGGGCCGTGGCGAGGATTCGAACCTACGGCCCAGAGGATCTCAGACGCTGCCTTAGTCGATTAAAGCAGCGTCTGGGATCCTCTCGGACGTAGGTTCAATCCCTCGTCACGGCCCTTGTGGATTTGTTCATAGATAGCAATGTTTATGATGTTGACCAGACCACACAGTAGAAGATGAAGGGACGACGATGTTTCGGTCCGTCCTGGACCATTCTCAAGTCGACAATCGACTTGAGAATGGTCCAGGACGGACCGAAACGTCGTCGTCCCTTCACCTTCTAGTGTGTGGTCTGGTCAACATACTTCAGCCACGTTATTGTGACTCATCGCCTGCAATGTTTATGATGTTTATGATTTGTTTACTACTTGAGCTTGATAAAAATGTAAAGTTCGTCTTATGTGGCGCGATAGGCCAGGATGTGCTGAAGGTACTGGAGATGGACGAGGAGTCGGGCTTCAGGGTGTGTGAGGGCCAGGGCGACTCTGCCGAGGCGGCCTCCAGGGTCAGGGCCATGCTCCATGACCTCCACCTGCTCACCACTGCCGTCGAGGCCTGCTGGAGGAGACTCAACACAGCCCTCGACACCTACATGCAGGTCAGGAAAGCACCAACCTGGAAAATCACACGAGTAGAAAATCACATGAAAATCTAGTTGCTACTCCTTATCATCCCTAACTGGACATATTTTACTCTTTTTAGCACACTTAGTTGTGTGTGTCACTCATTTAATTCCGCAAGAACGCAGCTATTCACATTTATTGAATCTTAAGTCAATTGACATATAACTGCTAATATGAAACCAATATAACTACGCATATTAACAAATTATACTGAAGAAATTTGAGAAATTGGGTTCTGTCTATAATATCCAAGATTTTTCACTTTTCTGGCTAGCATTATCAAATAATAAGATAAAGCTTGTTATTACACACAAGGCATTAGAAGAATTGTGGAAAATACTGCAACATTGAACACAAACATTTAAATGCTAAATACTTAAGTTTGAGATAAAATTTTAACAGATTTATTTATGGTGTCCCTTAAATGCCATAGGAGAAAACGCAAAATGATGGGGTAGCTATTTTATCTTAATTTCAGACGCTGCTATAATTCATATACTTTATTCTGATATGTCAATATCAGAATTTTATTAATACGAAAGTAATTACCCATTCATAAGCTGCATCACCGGGGAGGGGATGGGGAGGTCAATGGTCATATATAATGGCCAATGGTCATATATATCTGTTGACCATTATATACATAAACGCTAGAAATATAGGAGCGAACCAAAACATTGGTAAATTGCATAGATGATACTGAACGTGTGTGGGTTAATATACTTGTACGAACACCCAAAATGCTGCAGGAAGATCTAAATTGACATTAATTTAAAAAAAAAGAACTTTGCAGGGTGAGATCTTAAGCATAGAAACTCAAAGCAGAAGTGCGGTTATCGACAAAACTTTCATATACAGTTGCAAAATCCAGTCGTGAAAAATAATCTGTAATCAAGAAACACTGCAAACATTTCCGGAATAATACTATTAGGAAACTGGGACTTGTATGTGAAGGTTTTTATAATAGAAAGTGTTTATACACTGAGAGGTGTACCCAGCTTCTCGGTGTATATAGTATACACTGATTCTTTACTGAAGTTCAGAACTTCAGTATTCTTGCTGGTTGCTCAGTAAACACTGGCCTTAACCCTCCAAAGGGATAATGTAGTATAATGTTGATTACCGTATAGAAAAATGGGAAAATTATCTTTTAAAGTATACAGAAAGGATTGACTAAGTTAATCCGGACTTTATTAATATTTTTATGAAGAGTGGCGGAGAAAATTAAATTTACAATGTTTAGAAAGGTGTTTTGGAGTGCATAGATTAGTGTTTTTATAATAAGGGAGATACAAATAGAATACTATAAGTATCACTCGAAGATGAAACTCGAACCAATAAATTCATGTTGAATAAGTTTGTATTTGGAAAAAAAATAGGTTGAACATTGGCTCGAAAATAGTGTTGCAGATACACGGAACACATTACCAAGGGGACAGTAAGCCACAATAGCGTGACTGAAAATTACATAAGTCAATAATTTTCCAGGATGGACCGTAACGTCGGTCCATCCTGTGTGTTCACAGTGTGGGGTTGGGAGTCTTAAGTTATCATGCAACATCGTAGAAATAAATTCACTGCAAAAGTTACGAGCAGGGCTGTACACTCACATGGAGGTTGTTGAATATAAATGGATGCGGCCTCGTATGGGTCGGTATATGCTTACTGTATAGGCCAGTATATACGCCTGCTATAGGTCGGTATATACGCCTCGTATAGGTCGGTATATACCTTCACTCTAATGGTATTTCACTTCAAGGGGCAGCTGTTACTCATCCCAGCGTCCATTATCAGACCACAAGAATATAGAAAACGAGGTCTGTTGGCCCGTACGAGGCAGCTCCGTATATCAACCAAAATTATTTATATTTCCTAATTATGAGACTATCCAGAGGTGTGGTAAGTAATCAAAGCTTCCTGCCTATTGGTCCTCCTGACGGGAATGGTTTGC